AAAAAACCTCGGCTTCTCTCCCAGCACTCCAGAGTCGACCTCACACCCTCCGAAACAAGTGAAAACTCAAAAAATGAAACAATGCAACCGAAAAATATTTAGAAAAAGAATTCTCAACAACAACTTACCCAATATGACTCCAAAAAGAGACGAGATGGCTTCCGAACTGGTCATCACAGCAAACATGATAGGATTCGAGTTGGATTCGCATCTAAATACTCATAGCCTTACTAAAATAAAAGATCGAATAAAATTATAACTGAAATGAGTTTTTTCACAAGGGATTGCCAATTACAAAAACCCAACAACGGCAATGGCATGGTGGTGGCAGTAGTGGCATGGTAGCGTTGATGGTGGTGGTGTTGGCAGTGATAGTGGTAGAGGTAACGATGGTAGTGGTAATAAAATTTTAGTGATGTTTATGAAAATAATGACAATGTTGATAAAGGTGGTGGTAGTGGTGGTGGTGGTAGTAATAGCGGTGGTTGAGTAGTAAGTCAAATCTAGAAACCCACACGGTTAGGTAACGATCCTTTCGGTTAGTACCGGTAAAATGGCTTTAGTGGTGCATGTATAACCTACTGGCAGGTACGTACTTAGAGATTCCCAGTGTTTTGTATCCACTATCCCATTTTCTTATATAAAAGTATATTTTTCATGAATTAATATATAATATAGGCATTACATTGTTTTGAGATGGAAAGTATAATGTTTGATAAATGGCATGCATATGCATTCACCTTATGACTTTATTAAGTTTCATACATTGTGTTCAAGTATCTCTACTGAGCTCTAGCTCACCCTATGTAGAAAACAACTTTCAGGCGCTAATGACATATCTCTACCAAGGACAAAGCTTAGGGGGATTTGGAGCCAAGAGCTTCTTTTGTTTCTTTTTGTGTAATTATTTTGTACAAGCCTTGACTTTATTTGTATTGAGTTTAACTCATTTTAGTTGTACCCAAGCATTGACTTAGAAAGATGTAATCATTATGGCATAAACTTATTTGTTCATCTTTTTATTTCGATTAATTTACAAATAGCATATGCTATAGATTCAGAATTTAAGATTTATGAATGTAAACATGCATATGTCATCTTTTGTACGATTAAGGAGTACCAATGAAATGTTAAATATATTGCAAGTTATACTTTCTACAGAATATCATGTTATGAGTTGTTATTATTTTGGAGCGTTACAAGAAAGTAGAGTAGTACAAGTTAATGAAATTTCATTAATTAATAAGTCATATTTGGTTGAATTGTAAGTTTAGTCAAATCGAATAATAAGTACTCCCTCCGTCCCAAAATAATAGTCTCTTTTGAAGAATCCAATTTTTTTTAGTAGTACAATTATTACATTTTAAAAATATTAATTTTCCAAAATTACCCTTTAATGGCACATTTTTTTTTTACAATATCAATTGTAATAATTATATTTTTTGTGTTGTTAATGAATTCAAAAGAAATGCAAAATAGAAAATTTATATTATTTTAGTCCTTAATTTTTGAAAATGGACTAACATTTTATGATGGATGGAGTAAACATTTTAATTTACTTACAATCAATTGTGATAGTATTTATCACTTATTATGACAATACTTATCACTCATAAATATAATGCTTATTATTTGTTTTAATTCTAATTATTAATCAATGATTTCCAGTAGTCAAATATTTGATTAAGTAATAAGTCAAGTCATATTATTCGTTCTAATTCGACTTACTACTCAATATTTGTCAATAGTCAAATGTTTGTGGAGTCTTATTGACTAGTAAGTAAAAATTAATTTAATAGTAATTCAATCTGATTGAGTAGTAAGTGAAGTCTCAATGAATAAGATAAATGAAAATTATTTAGTAATTTTCATAAATTCAAATATTTTAAAAAAATACCTAACATGTCCAAATAATTTATTTAACAATTTAATGTAATTGTAAGTGGACCTTTATTAAGTAGTAAATTATATTTAACTGAATAGTAGTAGAATTAAGTTTTAAATAATTATGTAAATTATTCTTATTTGCTTGATGTTCGAGTAAGTTACAAGTAATATTTTGATATCATGTTATAAAATTACTTGTTAGTTTGATTTGGTTTTAAAATTTTTGTAGTTTCATTATAAATTTCAAAAATATGTAAGCTAAGGAGGGTATGAGGCATTAGGTCTACTGTATACTTTTTTATTAGTGAGAAATCCATCTTATTTGTTTAATTTTTAAATATTTTCAACTCAAATTTCACTTATTTGTTTAAATATTTTGTATTTTGTTGAAATACAAAGTTGTCTGCTGAAATTCAAAGAGTAATCTGCTGAAATACCAAGCCAATTTTTTTATCAGTTAAAATAACAATTCAAATTTTTTATCTGTTTAAACAAAACTGATATGTTTCAATTTATTTCTTCATCATCATCATCAACAACAATAACAACAACGACAATAATAATTGAAGTAGCAAGTCAAATTTCAATGAATAGTAAGCTGAGTCACATTGACTAGTAAATGGAGTTTAATTGAGTAGTGAGTCAAGTGTAATAAAGTAGTAAGTGAAAACTCATTAAGTAGTAAGTGAAATGTAATGAAGTAGTAATTGGAAGATTATTTAAGTGAAATTTAATTGAGTAGTAAGCAAATAGGAATAAAATAGTAAGTGAAAACTTATTAAGTAGTAAGTACAATTTACTTGAATAGTAAGTGAAGTCTAATGAAATAATAAGTGAAATCTCATTAAATAATTGTAATATCACTTACCATTTGGAGTCTAGTAAAGAACTATAAGGCTTCGTTTGGGAAGTGGGTTAACTTTTTGGCTTTTTTGGCTATTTTAGCCTGGGACTAAAAAGCCTGGTTTGGGAAAGGCTATTGGCTTTTTTGGCTTTTTGTGAAAGAAAGAATGTAATGATTATGGGTTGAATGTGATGTTTTGTTTTATTGGGCTCAAAAGCCTATTTTATTTTTTGTGCCTATTTTAGCCAAAAAAAGGCACAAAACCCACTTCCCAAATATAGTGAAATAGTAAGTGGAAGCTCATTGAGTAATAAGTGAAACCAAAATTGAGTAGTAAGTGAAATACAATGAAATAATAAGTGGAAGCTCATTGAGTAGTAAGTGAAGTCTAGTGAAGTAGTAAGTGAAATTCATCATCACTACCATCAGAGAAGTCTGAAATTATTTGGCAAATAGTTTACAAAATTATCATCAATGAAGTTTGAAATTTCTGGATCAGAAACTAGCTATGGATCTTCAATGATTGTTTAATTGAATAGTAATTTGAATCTCATTGAGTAGTAAGTGAGATTTAATTGAGTAGTAAGTCAAATTTAATAAAATAGTACCTAGAGACTGATTGAATAGTAAGTGAGTTGCAAATATAATATCATTAAATACTAACCAAGAAGGTGGCTGGGGTTTAATTGAATATTAAGTTTTAATCTAATAGATGGGTGACTATTCAGTATTCGTGGAGTATGAACACGTGATGCTCCATAAGATTTTGATTGGTAGAGAGGGGTAAGGGCCCACGATTTATGTTAGAGATGGGGGAACAACATGGGGCTAAGTAATTGGTGATTGGCTTGAAGTATGACCACGTGGTGTTCCGGAATTATTGAATAATTTTCCCTAATAGAGTAGAAGTAAGTTAAGTTTGGTTGGTGTTGGTAATTTTCATTAAATAATAAGTGGTATTTAATTGAGTAGAAAAAAATTTGATAGAATAGTAAGTGAAATCTCATTGAGTAGTAAATGACGTTTAATTGAATAGCACATCAAGTATGATGGAATGTCATTGAGTAGTATGTCATGTTTAATTGAATAGTAAGTCAAATATTATATAGTCAGTACGGTTTAATTGGATATTAAGTCAAGTTTAATAGAGTAATAAATAAAATCTCGTTGAGTAATAAGTATAGTTTGATAGAATACCAAATAGAGTACAAGTGAGTATGTGGAGAATTGGTTTGGAAATACTCTTGGATCTTGAAGGACGTTCCTGATGCTCTGATTGCCACCTAAAAAAGGGACTAACACTCCGGTCGGGGGTGCCGGAATTAGCACTCCGACGGACAAGTTAGCATATGTCTCTCGTTTGCTTATGTCTTAAGTTTCTTGGGTTTTTTCTCACATACCTTTCTTTGGTTGATGTTCCTCTATTTATATTCACCTTTGGGCCCTAGGGTCGGGCCCACTCTTAGTCCATCGCATGATTGCTCATTCGGCCCCTTCTATCGTGTGCCAATTCCCACTCGGCTTTCTGTTCAGTTGGCTCTATGGCCGATTAGTTCATTCGGCTTCGGGATCGTACATGACTGAGTCGAATATAATATGTATCCTAATTACTATCAGACTCGTTATTCGGCTTCCCTGCAAGTACTGATATTCGGCTCCCACAGAGTAGTAAGTAGAATTTAATTGAGTAGTCAATAGAGTCTTATTGATTAATAAATGGATTTAATTGAGTGACAAGTCAAGTCTATTGAAATAGAAAGTAAAGTTATATTGAATTGTAAATAATGTTTAATTAAGTAATGAATCAAGCTTCAGTTGAGTAGTAAGTAGGGTATTATGTGAGACTAGGCCTATTTTGGGAATAGGCTATTTTAGTAAATTTTTAACTTTTTGGCTAAAATATGAGATAAAAAAATTAGTATGTTTGGGATGATTTTTTGGTTTTTTTACGAAAAATGTACAAAAAATAGAGAGAAAAGAGAATCTTTGACTTTTTTGTTTTTTTAGTGACATTTTGGTTTTTTAGGCTAAAAAGTAATGTTATTTAGTCATTATGTTGACCTACATGATATGGTATATGATTCCATATTTTTGCTACAATTAATTGGTAAATAAAGAAGAGTGTTTTCCAAGTATCTTACTTAAATGGGAAAGTGGAATCATGGTTGAATAAGGAAACTGGCCATCTCCCTACCTATAAAAGGACATTCAGACTACCCATCAAATTATTCTGAAAATAATGTATTCTAAAAAGGGTTAAGACACTAACTTTTTTTTTATCAGCAAAGAAAATGGAATTTTATTGATAAAAAAAAGTACAAAAAAAGGCTTGGCACAATTGCATCATAGTTCAAAAATACATCCCAACTAAGTTGGCACCTATTAGACAACCCAATCATGTGCAGGCACAAGCCAAAAGAAGGCTGATGAGCACTCAACCAAAAGAGTTACAAAGAAGAAGACAAACAAAATACAAAACATCATTCTGAGATCTTAGCTCTATAGCCTTTGATGCCATGTAAACAAAACAAAAAGTCATGAAATGAGAATTTTGGCGTGTTAAACGATTGTTTTACCCAAAACGCAACCTTGAGCTTAATGTCTTCCACCAGATCCACCCAAATAGGTTCCTTGGAATTAAACACCTTTTCATTCCTAGCAATCCATATGGTCCAGAGAATTGCCAAAGGCAAGGCTTCCCAAATAACTCTTCCCAGATACTGTCTTTTCTAACCAAACCACCAAACTAACAACTCTTGGATATAACAAGGAGAGACCCACAAAATTCCCCACCAATTGACAATTTTAGACCAAATCATCCATGAATAATAGTAGTGAATGAGCAAATGAACTATTGACTCTTCTTCATTACCACAAAATGCATAATGGATGGGAATGTGGATTATATGGCGTCTAAGAAGGAGATTTGCAGTTGCAATTCGATCCCACCACACCAACCATCCGAATGCTTTTATCTTTAGCGGTGCAACTGTCTTCCATAAATTCATCACAGGAAAGGATGGCACCTGAAGAGAGATCTCAAATAAATCATAAAGAGACTTAACAGTGAAAATACCTGATGAAAGGGGAGTCCAGATCAATTTGTCCTCCATAAGATCTCTATTTCTTTGGACCTACTGCAACCTTCCAAGCATATCATGGTGCATGTCCTCTTCCCAAGCTCTCAATGGTCTCCTGTATGAAATACTCCACTGCAACTGAGTGCCCAAATTCTGATGAGTCAACTATTGACGAACAAAGTAGTCCTTATCAGTTGCAAGTATAAAAAGTCTGGGATATAAAGAGGACAAAGGTGAATTAAAAAGCCATCCATCAAACCAGAATTTGATCCTTTTACTATTGCCCAATATGAACTGGAGGTTATCAATGAATAATTTATGGACAAGACCTCCAAACTTTCTACTCAAAGAACAGGCCTCCCAGCTGACCAGATAAAGTTTTTTCTTCTCTTCACTATCCCCCCAAAAAAAGGATCTTTGGAACTTGTCTATGGTGTTTGCCACTGTTGAGGGAATTCTAAAAAGAGACATATAATAAAGGGGAAGCAAAGATAAAACTGATTTAACTAAAGTAATTCTACCCCCTAAAGAGAGATACCTTCTCTTCCATGATGATAATCTTTTTTTAACCTTCTCAATGATGGGTTCCCATGTTGCAACCCTCTTAGGATTAGCTCCTAAAGGCATACCAAGGTAATTGATTGGTAGTTTACCCGCCGAACAATTTAAATACTCAGCTACTTGAGATGTGAAATCAACATTGGTGCCAACTCCACAAAACACAAATTTCTAAAAATTGATTTTCAACCCAGATATTAATTAGAAACAATAGAGCACTCTTCTTAGATTAATAATCTCATTCCACTAATATTGAAATTAGGTTTACATTCAATCAATTATGGATCACTCGAAGGTTTCGCAAATATGATCCGGGTATGTTATTTATTTTCCGCATTATGTTATTATTTGCGAAAATCATGATAGTTCATGATTTTGGATTATGAAGCTTGTTATATGCATAACAAAATAAAAATTTTACATATTATTCTCATACAAAATTCCAATTTATATGCAAACAATATTAAAAATAGTTTTTTCTTCAAAATTCCAGAAATCAAAACCTGCATGAGAATTTCTTGGAGATTGAAATTATTAGCTAAAAACCATAATTTGTGTCCATGTTTCCTAGATTCATTCCATACACGCAACTTCTCAATCACCTCTTCATACAAAAAGAAAAAAAAAAATTGTTCATGTTCATGTTATAAAACTTTTAGGTTCTTTACATACATGCACTACTACATCACTGCATAAAAAAATAAAAAATAAATAAATAAAAGAACCATCCATTCAAAATCATGGGTGGTGTATGTACATCAAAAGTAAGTTAATTTGAAGCTAATTATCATGTTAGATTAGTCTTGATCAGCTCTCTTCTCCATTGAGGATCATGAATACTCTGGATTTCACAAAAATAAAATAAAATGAGAATATATTGGAGATGTATGAATATGGAAACAAAGAATTTTGTTGTGGGAGGTATATAACACATGGAGCTCCTAATTTTATGAATGTTTAACTATAAAAATAAAAAAATAAAAATTCAATGCAGTGTTGGCCTTCAATAGTGCCTAGAAATTAGCAAGGAATCGAGCTAGAATTCTCTACTTCTCAACTTTCATACAAATAACCCAACCTTTGTGTGAACTAATTGAACAAATCTTAAAAGGAATTATAGTTTTTTTTTTTTCTAACAGAGCAAAAATTCTACAATCAATGGGTATGAATTTTCTCTGTTGTCCTCTACTTGCTCAACAATCAAACAAACTAATTCCCAAACAAATCTAAATCCAAACTTAACTAGGATTAAAAAAAAAAAACCCAAATTAGATTAACAAATTAAACAAAAAATGAAAGTACCTGAAGAGCTTGCCGCTTTTAATGATAAATTAGAGAAGGTCTCTAGGCGAATCCAAAGCGATTGGTTGTTGCACATCTTCTTCTTCAAAAGAGAAAAAAAAACTAAGGCTAAGGAACTGGGGAATTGAGAAGAACCAAGGAGGGTCGTTGACCGTGAGAAACACATGAAGGGCTGATCTTCGGAAACATTGAATCAAAGGGATGTAGATTGAGCCATGAAAATGCAGAGAATATGGTGTAGAGATGAACTGTGGAATGAGAAAATGAAAGAGAGAGTTTTGCTTGACTAGTTATAACCGGTTACCATTTTATTTTTGGATGGTCAAGATCCCACATTCTTATCTAAAGGCTCAAAATCGCTTTTATGTATGGTAACCACTTTTGAGTACCATAGTCGGACCCCTTAACCAAACATGTACTGGAATATATATATATCTATATATATTTATTTCTTTTGTTTCACTTTTCATTATTTTTACTTTTCATTATATATATATATATATATATGAGAGTGTTTGGTAAGGTAATTATTACGGTTTAATGATTATAAGTGGCATTAAGGGGTAAGGAATGAAACTTTTAACCATTAGTTCAATATTTATAGATTCAAACTCATAACTTTTCATCTGGGGCTCAGGAATCAACTGAGGCAATCTAATTAATTTATTTATTTTTTCATTTTCATAAAACAGAAAGGAAGAAAACATTTTTCGATCAAACAAGACAAAAATATAAAGTGTGAAATTATTTTATTTATATTTTCTCTAATTTTCAAAAAGTATACTACTAAGTTTGGTTTTTACTAAAGTATGCCTACATTTTGTTACTTAATATTATTTTACAACCAGTGACAAAGTCATATATTAAAATAATATTATATATATATATAACCATTTATAAAAGCATGAAAATGCTTGTGTGAGTCTCACACACAAAATTCCCTAAAAGACCTTCTGTGACTGGGTAAACTTCCTAAAAAGCCCTGGAATTTACCCTTTATTGCAAAAAACCTTGAAGATAACCTCGATTCACTAAGTAATATGAGGTGACCATCTCTTCCTTCTCGAAGGTTCCTGTTTCAATGAACTTTGAAACCTTACTCAACTCTTGAAAGATCTTCTATAGATACCCCATTTTCACCAACCACTAAGACGTAGGTGTTTGAAAGCTTCATGATGATGAAACGGTAATTATTTCTTCCTTAGAGAGGTTTGAGGTTAATAAGAGCTGTTGTGTGACCTTGTTTTAGCCAAAAATTATCTTTCTTTCTTTCTTTCTTTCTTTTCTTTTTTTTTTTTTTTTTTGTAAAAATGATCATTTTGCCCCTGAACTCATTTTTATCCAAAACCTAACTTTTCGGTCCCACTTAGAGGAAAAAGTTCGTTTAAGTCTGAATTGATAAATTGTAACACCTACATCCTTTAATCCTTTGGAGTTTATATTTAATTCCCTTATTTTCATTTTTAGGAATCTTTGAAGTTGTTGAATGTTGGTTTTTGAGTAATATGATCCGATTTAAACTTGTTGGGTTTGTTTGTTTGCGCTTGTTCTTGTCAAAAAGTTCCTTGGGAACTTAGAAATTCTATTCTGGGGTCGACACCAGCCTTCCTAAGGGTCGACCCTTACTTGTTGGTGAAGTTTCTGGAAGTGTTGTTGGAATATAGGGGTTGACACCAGTCTGGGGAAGGTTGACCCTTTTATATAGCAGAATCTGTGTGTTACTTGCTGGAAATTAGGGTCGACCCCCTTGCTTGTTGCCAGATTGTCTTTTCTACCTAAAGGGTCAACCCCCCTGCTCAAAGGGTCGACCCCCCTGCTCGAAGGGTCGACCCTTGCGTGTTTTTTTCAGATTTTTTGGGGTTCGTATGGGCCCTACCTTTGTGGGGTTTTGGGCCTATTATTTTATTGACCTTAGGGCTATTTTTCTACTACTATAAATAGGCTCCAAACATAGTTTCATTTCACTCTTCTCCTCTTTCCTTTCTCTCAACCGTGAGCTCTCCTCTCTCTCTCTCTCTCTAAACTCAAGCTTTTGGCACTAAGATATCTAGATCTACTCACCTAGAGTGATCTTTTCACCATAGTCCTTTGAGAAAGTGAGAAAAAGTGTAGATCTCGTCAAGGGCATCCTTTTGGTCTGAATAGTTCGTGGTTTCGTCGTCATTGATGTTTGGGTCATCATCTCTTGGCTTCTAGAGGTAGGGGTTTCTAGTTCTCTTTCAATACCCTCGTTTATGGATAGATTTGTGGTAATTTCTTTATATAAATACAAAAGTTTATATTTCTATGCATATTGTGATGAATCATGAGATTAGGGGTTAGGGTTTGAAGAGAGTTGGGTCTTTTTGTTAGGTTATGATCTGGGGTCATGAGTTTGGGTGTAAAAGTAATAGAATGGTTGGAATAAAAATGTGTCTTTGTGAAAAGCTTTAATTTCTCTTAAAAACCTTAGTTTGGCTCATGAAGATGGTTAATGGTTTTGCTTCAATTGATAGTAAAATCATGAATTGAGGTGTTAAATTGCACATGTACAAGTTTAATTAAAATATTAAAGAGTTTGAAAAAAATTTAGGTAAAATTTGCAATTAAACTCTTAATGTTGATGTTTTAAATTATGTTATAATATGAAATCAAACTTGGGGAAAGAACTTACTAATGGTATGGATGATATGAGCTTTGTGTTGAAATGGTTGTGTTGAATCTTGTTATGTGTTATGTGAATTGTATTGGGTTATGTTGTGTTCAGTTGAGTTGGGTTATGTTGTGTTCAGTTGAGTTGGGTTGGGTTGTGTTGAGTTTGGTTGAGTTGTGTTGGGTTGTGTTGTGGTTGGTACCCGCACGGGGAGTTGAAAAATGATTTTTCGGTGCCCACGACCTTCCGTATTATAGCCGGTAAATGTGGAAAATGGTTTTAAAAATTAAAAAATGGTTTTTCGGTGCCCACGACCGTCCGTATAATAGCCGGTAAATGTGGGGGTGGTTTGAATTCAAGCTGCCCAATTGCCTTGCCTAGGCTTATCGCTGGACAAATATGGGAAAAGTGCTTTTGGGTGTTCACACAGTCCTGCCGTATTGTAGCCAGGGAAAATGGAAAAATGATTTTTGGGTGTCCACACAATCCAGCCATATTGTAGCTAGCAAAAGTGGAAAAACGGATGGTTTTCGAAAATGTTTTGGGTGCCTATGTCCTGCTGTATAATAGCCGGCAAATGTAGGGGATGGTTTTAAAAAGTTGAACAATGGTTTTTGGAAAAATGTGGTTTTTAGAAGAAAATGGCTTTTGAGAAAATGGTTTTTAGGAGTTCACTTCCCGTCGTATAATAGCCGGCAAAAGGTGAAAAGTGTTATGAATTGGGTGCCCGTTGTCCCGCCGCATCAAGTCAGCAAAAGGTGGAATGTGTTGTGACCTGTGTTGAGGTCAGTGATGATATGTGTGACTTGTGATGAACTTGTGAAATTACCATTTGATGTGTAAATTGGTATGGAATGGGAATGCATATAGAAATTATTTGAAAAGAATGGATAATGAAATGGTAATTGGATAAGGGATTCGTTATGAAGAACTCACCGGGTTGTTTGTATCTATAAGGAAAAAATTAAGAGTTTTATTTTGTGATTAATTGAGAAATTGAATTAAAAGGGCTTATGATCCTCATGATATGTTGAATTATGATGGATAACACGCATGTGGATATGATGTAGTTGTGATATGTTGAATTATAGTTGATAATGCAAGTGTGGATGTGATGTAATTGTTAGATAAGTAGGAGTTGAGTGTAGGATAGTAATTATTGACTACAAAAGAGAGATTTGGATTTTTACATTGAGAAGTTACAGCTAACATGAATAGATTGGTGGGAATAACATGTATTTGTGATGTTTTTGGAGTATTAAGGGAACTTGAATTTGAGGTTATGACGTTATAACAAATGTAACTAGAAAAAGGGGAGAATGGGAATAAAAAGAGAAATGTTAAGGTGGAAATTAAATGAGGAATACTTTGGAATGGGTTAATAAATTTAAAATGATGTTGTTCCTTAAATATATTTATTTTCAAAATGGATTTTATGGTTTTATGATAAAAAGGAATAGTTTTGATGGATGAAGGTTTTCTTTACAATGTTCAAATAAACTTTGAGAAAAAGGTACTCTACGTATGATATTTTGAAATTGCAAAACATTACTTTACTATATGGTCTCACTCTGCATGCATGATCATTTCTATCTATAGGATGGTTATTGTTTTGGAACTATGAGATTCTTACTGGGCAATTGTGCTCACCCCTTGTTGTTTCATTTTTTACAAGAAGAGAATTTCGGATTGATTGGTTAAAGGATTAGGAAGTTCATGTATATCTTGTGTGTAATCTCATTGTACTTTGCTGTTTGTTATTATTTATTTGTAACTCCGTAGCGGAAGCTTGGCATATATTGTTATTATTGTTATATTCATCATGAGAGAGACATGTATTATTATGTTTCTATTACTCAAGGGTAATAGACATTTGTAATTAATAAAAAATAAATAACTAAAAAATTTGACCTAATTTACAGGCTTTTGGTAATGTTTCCAAGTAATTGAAATTGAGGCGTGACATAAATACTTTCAAAACCATTGACCTATTTTGTGTAAAAACATCAATTGAGAGCTAAATGGACCTACTTAGGCAGTAAAAGGGTCCAATAGCCTAAAACCACGTACTTGTGCATGTATGCATGGCTAGTACACGTTGAGGGAACAAGTGCCCACACCTAGAGGCTTGGCTGCTCGAGCGGCCGCACATAGGCTTTATGCCCACACATAGGCTTTGTGCCTACACATGTCCTGTGTAACACCCCAAAATAAATATGACAAACCCATCTCATTTGCAAAAGTAGAATTTGAACAACATACTTACTTTCATCAGAGTTAATATACAAAAGGTAACACATGCAATATACATTCTTAAATGTCCTATCCTGAATCCACAGCATGTGTTACTAATAATCAAAAGATGAAAGTTAAACAGATAATTAAATTCCCTAATAACTTACATCCTTCCAAGTCATTCCTTGGTTACGACAAAATGAGTCTAGCTCAATACATTTAATGCCCTTGGCTATACAAATTAAATGCAACAAAAACGAGCCCTTGCACCAAGTCTCTTCAAGCTACTGTCTTGGAGGAGGCATGTCGCCAGCATCTGAAAATGATTTTTTCTAATAGGGTAAGTCAAAATCCAGTAGAAACAATCTAACACAATATATGCATCTTAAAAAAGATATAAGTATAAGATGCATGTCCAATGCCCATGATAAAACCATTTATGACTCTTTTGCAAAACCATGCCATGTCAAGCTTTATATCACAATTCATATTATCTCAATTCATTTTGT